AAAAATGCATGAGAAGCCTAAAGAAATCTGAATTAGACAAATGAAGTGAGCATCTTTTAAAGTTTTTCTTTTTTTCTTCCCCCTCCTCCTTTTCTTTCTTATATTTAGAGTGACTTGACAAATATGTGCTTATCTTTAAAACTTCCATCTGCGCCCTGTTTATGCTAACACAGACCGGAGAGGCTCTCGCTGAATCACGTCTCCGTCTTGCACCAATGAATCAAATACCTATCAGCACAAAACACAGCCAGCGTGGATGTTGACCTTTTTCGAAAGGGTGCTCAGCCATAAGCTCAAAAAAAAGAAAAAAAAAAGCTTTTAGCTACAGAGGAAAATCTTTTAAAGTCCGAACTGAAAGGCAGCATTTATTTCATGTGGAAACCAAACAGAGGGGCAGCAACAGAAACACTTGGAATTATTCTAGGAATTGAAATTGATAAAAAATTGCAGCAGCAGATTACGTTTTAACATACAGTACAGAGAAAATGTACAGAAATGTTGCAGCAGTGATTTGATTCTTGGTGTTACTATTAAATGGTTAGAGACTCACAGGTTGAGGTTGGTACTGTGACAACAATTAAATTTTAGTTGACGATTAATTGTTAAGCAAATAATTCCAATTAACAATGACACTGGGGTTTTCTGTTCATGTATTGCCTCTGTTACAGTTGTACATTTATGCTATTTCCCCCTCTTGCCTGCGATAATGACAAATCGCCTCCTCTGTTGTTCTTAGTTTCATTTGAGAACCAAAGTTGCCAACAGAATCCACAACGTTAATGCCAACAGATGCTCATAGAAACTGAGTCCATCAAATAAAAGCAGTTAAACACCTCGAGGAAAACAGCAGGTGCCATTAAATTGTAGCGGAAAGGATTGCAATGGTGGAAATCAATGTGGAGTTATTGATAGAAACAAGACTTTTTTTCATTCAACTGTATTTATCCAGGGGAATAGAAATGATGCCAACGATTATGCCAAATTGATTGCGGTCAGCTCAATAATTGAGATCAGGCAGGTGACTGCAACAGATCTGGTTAAAGTTAGAGAAAGATCATGGTCTGGGAAAATACAGAAAACCTCTAGAGACCAAAACTTGGGACAGAAGTTTTACAAAATCATGATCTTTCTTGAACCTCAACCAATGTGATTTGATTTTAAAAACTGACAGGATTCAGGTCATTGGACTCTGGTGTCCTGTACTTTGTGTTTTCGCCACCTCCGACCGCCTCCTTTCAACCCTATGCCCCACTTAAATGTAGCATTTCAGTTATCACACAAGTGGGAGCCTCATTCTGGGAACCTTCACAGTCACAACTCTACTTTTTGCAGATGATGTTGTTCTGTTCGTGACCTTTAGTGGGCAGTTTGCATCAGAGTGTGAAGCAGCTGGGATGAGATTCAGCAGCTACAAGTCTGAAAGTCATGTTTACTTGCTGGGAACTAGCGGCTTGCTTCCTCTGAGTTGGACATGAGTGGCTTCCCCAAGCGAGAAGCTTAAGTATCTCAGGGTCTTGTTCATGAGTGACGGGAAAATGGAGCATGAGGTGGACAGATTTGTGCACTACCAGCAGTAATGTGGAAGTTGTACTGCACTGTTGTGGACAAGACAGAGCTGAGATGGAAGACAAAGTTCTTGATTTACCAGTCACTTTCACTCCAGCCCTCACCTGTGGTCATGAGCACTGGGTAGTGACCGAAAGAATGAGATTGCGAGTGTGTTTCGTCCGTTGGGTGGCTGGACTCAGATGGGTTGACGAACTCTGACATCTGAGGGAATGATGTTGCTGAGGGGATTCAGGCATCAGGATACTTTCAGGGTGCTTTCTTTTGGAGGTTTTTGGGGGCACATCTAACTGGCAGGAGACCCAGTGACTACATATCTCATCTGGCCTGGGAACACCTTGAGATTCCCTAGAAGGAGCTAGAAAACATTACTGAGGAGAGGGATGTCTGGAATGACCTGCTGCCTCCAAGAGTCAACCCTGGATGAGCAGACATAAATTAATGGACGGTCTTCATTCATCACGAGGTCAACACTTGCAGTATTTAAGTTTTTTACCTCCTTTATAGACACTGAGGGAGGTGAAGCTAGCCACAAATCCACATTCTGCTTCCTAACATAATCCAATCAGCAATTCCATTTGTCTTCACAGTGCAATCAGGAAAACGATTAAGTAATAAACACAATTTGCAGAAGACTGGGTTGAATTTGTCACATTCCAGCTGGACGAGGTTTGACTGAAGTAGCAGCAAAGCGTTTCTCCATTTTATTCAGCTAACTCACGGACATAATAAGCAAAGTTTTTTTTTCTTTAATTATGTGGATTTTCTTGATTAAAGCAACTGCTACAACCAAAATTACATCAGTGACTTTGAACGCTAGCGATGTTGAAAAGTTTCACTCTAAAGCAAGCCTCCAGCACGTTCAGTAAATGATCTTTGCCCATTTCGTTCCTCTGTGAAACCGTAATGAGACAAGCAGGGACATTATCTTGATTAAAATCAATCCCTATTGGATTACGCCGCGCTACATTCCCTTGCTTGGCTCCACTCATTAGAATAGAGCAGAGAAAACAGGAATCAGAAGTGAGAAGCCCCATCAAAGCTTTACGTGTACATGCATGGGCGACTTGACGGATAATCCCTGGAGTCCTCCATTAGTGTCCTCAAATGTTTCTCAGACTACGTGTTGCTGTCGCTGTGTTTTATTGTCCAACAGCTTGTACACGATCTGGTAACTCTGACTTTCTAACTGATTGCCTGTTTAAGAAATGTGGCCGTGTGTTTCCTGCACAGTGCTGCTTTAGGGAGAAGCTGAGGGTATAATTTAAACGCACACAAGAAAAACTATCAGAATCAAGAACTGGAAGAAGGAACAGAGAAAAGAACAAGAAATATATTTCCATGAGGTATACAATAGAAGTATAGGAGAGGGAGTGGAAGGAAGAAAATATGGAAAAGAACGGTTGAATAAAAGTGAGCAAAAGCAGAAAGAATGGAAGAAAATAAAGGAGATGAGGGCTGGGGAGAGCAAAAGAATGAAGATATATATGGGGAAAGTACAGAAAAGAGAGAGAGGCCAGAAAGAAAGAAAGGAAAGAATGAAGGAAGGAGGGATCGAGCAAAGATGAGTCCAGGTGAAAATGGAAGTGTCAGGAAAAGGATAGAAAAGAAAATGTAAAAAAGATGGAAACAAGGTTGGAGGAAAGGAAAAAGGGAAGAAAATGAAGAACATGTAAACAAAAGGAGCAGTGGAAGTATAGAAAACATGGAACAAAGGAAGAAAATTGGGAAAACAGAAGAAAGAATGAGGGTGAGCAAAGGGCAAGGAATTGAAGAAGAGAGGGATTATGAAGAGACAAAGAAGGAAAAGATGGAGACTGATGAGAGAAAGGAGAGGTGGAAGTGAAGAAAAGATGCAAAAACAGGAAGAACGGCCAGATGGATGGGAGAAAGGAACGAGAGAAGAAGATGAAGGAGAGGAAGGAATGAGCAAAGACAGGTGAAAAGAATGGAAGTAGAGCAACAAGGAGGAGAAAGTAAAAGAATAAAGAACAGACGGGGACTGGAGGGTATAAAAATATGGAAAACAGAGGGATGAAAAAAGGGAAGGAGGAGAGAATAATTGTGGAGAGAAAAACAAAGAAGTTAAGGATCGAGATGGATAAGAGAAAGGAGAGATGCAAGTATAGAAAAAAAAAAGGAAGAATGACCAGACAGATGGGGCAAAAGACCGGGAAGAGCAAAGGAACGAAGAGAGATGGAAGGAAAGAAGAAGAAAATGGAAGAGAAGATGAAGGAAAGAAGGAACTCAGATGAGATGATGTAGGAATGAAAATGTAGGGAAAAGGAGAAGGAAGCGAAGGAAGACTAAAGGAAGCACTGGAAGGGAAAGAGAAAGAATGAAGTGAACAAAAGGTGGAGAAAATAGGGAAGAAAGGATGATGATATGGAAAAGAAATGAACTGAAGAGGGAGGGAGACAAATCAGATATGGAGAGGTTAAAGGTCAAAAAGATGCACTCAAGAAAGGCAACAAGAGGATTGCAAGGATGGAAGGAAGGAACAGGGAAGGAAGAAATGGGAAGAGAAAATGAAGAAAAGACGGCTGGACTGAATACAAAAAAAGAATGAATGTGAAGGGAAAGGGAGAGGAAATGAAACAGAAGTGGGAAGGAAGGGAAGGTGAAAGGAAAGCATGAAGAACTGAAGAAATGGGGGCTGGAGGTAAAGAAAACAGGAGAGAATGGATGAATATATGGCAAAAAGACATTTTGACACATCAGAGTGATTTATCAGTTTAGGTACATGTGGCATCATGGAAGAAAAGGTCAAAGGCCAGAAGAAAGACATTAAGGAAAGGAAAGAGGAAAGGAACCAGTAAGGAAGGAATGGGAAGAGAACATGAAGAAAAGAAAGGTGGAATGAACAAAGGAAGGAATGGAAGTGAAGGGAAGAGGAAAGGATGGAAGTGAGGAAGGGAAGAAACGAACGAAGTAAACAAACGTGAGCAAAAGGAGGGAGGAAGGCGAGAGGAGAGGGGAGGAAGGACGAACGAGAGCGAATTAATTCATTTTCACTCCGTCGCTTGTGTCCCGTGCAGGCTCGCCGCCGTGCGCCCTCCCTCCATCTCAGCCGACACATTCTTCAACACGGTCAACGTTACCGGCGCTCCGTCCCGCGCCTCAAAGCTCTCCGAGCCACCGACAGACCAGCAACCCACCGAGGCACCGAGTCCGCAGACAGACACCCAAACGGGCCGGTGAGGGGGGAGAGAGAAAGGAAAAGGAAAAAACAAAAACAAAAACGCACCGAGCGAGCACCATGGAGAGCGCCGGGAACGGCTCGGATCACCGGAGCCAGCTCCCGTTGTTTTACAACAACAGCAGCTTCTGCCGGAACTTCACCGAGAACGCGAGCTTCCCGGAGCCGCCGCCGCCGTGCGACATCATGGAGCGCGGACTGACCGGCAGCATGGACCTCGACACCAACCCGGTGATCATCGCGATCGTTATCACCGCTCTGTACTCCATCGTGTGCGTGGTGGGGCTGGTGGGCAACGTGCTGGTCATGTACATCATCGTCAGGTAAGACGGGAAAACTCAAAAAACGCACCGATGCGAGCGGACGCGTGTCCTCAGCCTCGTTGCACACAATTGAGCCTTTTTCCACACCTTGTAAAACAAACCACAAGTGTGTAACCTGTTGGTGTGTTGAGCAAAGTGGACGTGAAAGTGTGTTTGTGTGTTTTGAGGCCGAGTGAAGCCATGTGAACGTTGACAGCGCTGCCAGCGCAGCTGCCGTTCGTGCGTAAAATGCCTCCAACCTCGCTGCAAATTGCTCCAGTGCGCGAGGAGTCGGAGAGGAAGGGAAAGCTGCTGCACGATAACACGCTACTTTTCATTCTGAAACAGCTGATATCTCCAAATCTGTCACTTTCATCCACATACACTTAACCTGTAAATCAGGCTGATGTGGCAAAATGCGCCATGTTCCTCCCATGTGAGCAAAACATGCGCACCCTGTAGCCTCTCTGCTGTGCACTGTGGCTTCACTGTCATCTGTCCATGTACATGAGATGAGTCTAAAGTTGGTGTTACAACAAACAAAACAGCAGACAAGTGTTAAAAGTTTGCCAGATGTGCTGCTTCACACTCAGCTGCAGTATTTCTAATTTCTCAAACAGATTTGGTTTGTAAGAGTCAAACTATATGTTCCATTAAGTCCGTTTCTTCTTAAATCTCGGCCTCTTTCCTGCCAAATCTGTTCAATCAGCTGACAGGTTCACATCTTATTAATATTTCAAACTTTGTTTCAAACAAATGTCACACTTTCAAGATCTCATCACAGAATGAGCTTTTATCCTCTCCAGTCATCTGCCACGGGGAGTAATGGGCCAATCATACATGACAAGTGGTGTATGAAAGAAGAATTTCAAGGCCACTTGCTCTTGAATGGGTGAGATTTCAACCGTTTCACACACTAAATTAACTTTGATCAGCTGGGCAATTGGGCAAGCACTCACACAGGCAGAAATAATGTCTTTAAGTCTCACACAAGCTGGATTTTTTCCTGTTTTTCATTCACTTACTGAAAAAAGCCTTGACAGTCATTGAAGGAATCAATGAAAAATCCACTTCCCCTTGTGCACAATCACCTCAAAATATGAGCCAATATGCTAATGAAGTGGGTTTTCATTGAGAGAAGCTGAGCTTTGATTGCACACGAAGACCAGGCACGTCTGTTCGTTAAATGGCTGATGTGGTGTCACTTCACACGAGGCTCTCTGAGGTATTAAAGGGCACTAGATTGGTGGAGGAGATGGATATGTGGAGCAGGAAAATGAGGACAAAACAAGTGCACTTGGGGAAGAGCTGGGCGGCTGAGGAGAGAGAGATATGAGATGTGAGGAGGATAAAAATGAGGGTTTCTCCACCTAATGATTACCCACTTTATTGGTCTGATAAAGTGGCCGAGCGGAGGAGTTGCTGTGCTGAACTTGTCGGACAGGTGCTTTAATGGCGTTATAATTGAAATGCCACCCGTTTATTGGAGAAATTAAAGCGGAGACTTCTCGATTGATTTACTTCTTTATTGCCACAGTGATATATTATCTGATTACTCTGTTACCCTCACTCTTCTCCACGCCGTGCCCACTGTTTCCAGGGCAGATAAATGCTCATTTGCCAGACTGCGCACATCATCCCGCATGAATCCAAGACTGAGTGCTTCCCAAAATACATCTGTTTTGCTAAAGAATGCACATTTGGATGCCGGATGTTTTTTTGTTTTTTTTTTTACCCCAAATTACTTGCAGCAGATCTGCTCCCAGTGCCTCCATAGCAACGAAACGAAGAGGAAGCACTGCAAAAAAAACCCAAGTAAAATCCCATTTTGGTGTGCACCAGCATCGTTTTAATGCGTGTCTGTTTATGATGCATGAGTTGATTCGCATCATATATGTTAAAGGGATTCGTCTACAGAGCGCATGATCGATGGTGCAGGCATCTAATTGATCTTTAGCTCAGGGGAGTTTCATGGGAGCACAATGAGGACAAGCAGCCCAGCCTCCTGCCTTTTGTAATGAACTGAGCATCAGGCTTCACAGTGACAGACAACCAGGAGTGTCTCGAAGTTTTTGGGCAACTTTTGGAGCTAATGAGACTTTTGTGAAGAAGGTAAAGGATACGTCTCATTCCCCGGAAAAGCCCAATCCATCAGGGTCATTAACATTCATCCGCCTCTTTGTCTTTCTGTCTCTGCGGCACCTCTCTTGGTCTTTTCTCTCTGTTGGCAGATTGAGAGCGAGCTGCCATTTAGCTAATGACACACGGTGGATATTTACTCGTAAATGGAAATGCAGTCTTGAACTGTCCGTCTCCATTTTACAGTCGCGGCCTTGAATGCAGTTTGGCTAGATTAAACAGAGACAGCAGTGGATGAGAGCTGTTTTTTTCCCCCTCCTACAGTCTGACTAATGATGACCTTACAGCCATAAAACACTTCTCTCTCGCTCTTTATCTCTGCGGCCTCTCCCTCTGCCGCTTCGCAAAACTCTGCAAACATCCGCAAACTTCTTGCGCGCAAACACGGCTTGTACGCTCAATTGGAGGAGGGGAAAAAAAAAAAAAAAATCAATTGAACTGAAACCGCTGGGTTCCACGAGGAATATGCCATCGGTGCCGAGTGCTTTCTGTTACCATGGAAACACTGGGAGGTGTTTTTTGAGCCCGATGAGTGCAAAGTGACTCCACCGTCTCCCCAAATCCCTGCCTCCATCCCCACCCCCCTCCAACTCCCAGCCAGACCAGCAGCTGCGCCTAATTGGTCGGATTGAGCAGTCGGAGCGTTTTCTACAACTTTGGATGTTTTTGTTTCGGAGGTCAGTAAACGTCTGCACCCGCTGACCTGCATGAAACTCTACAACAAATGCGATTGTGGACAATTCTGTTTCCCTGCTCTCTGAGGACGGTGCAACTTCTAAACACGTCCGCTGTTCGTACGAGTTTGAACCCAGTCACACGGAATATGAAGTTATGACGCAATCGGCCGCACAACACTAATGACATCCAGCTGAGCTAATGGGTTTCTGGAAGCTCACACCGCCTGACTTGATAAATGATGGAGTTTCACGTTGAGTTTCAGATGACTAACCTGAATTCACCTGGCAGCCGGGTGAACCCTCTGAACCCTAACACACAGCAACAGGGTTATAAGGTATGTTACCTTAAAAAAAACAAGCTGACACAAGTTATCAGAGATAGAAACTGTAAAAGCAGAAAGAATTAGAAATTTCCAACTGTTCGTGAAGTACCCGTCTGTGACATGGCATCAGTCAAACAGTCAAATAAACTGGGTTGAACTGCGGGCTGTGCTTATCCTGCAGATAGGAGACAAGAAGGGAAACAAATGCAAATGTAAGTAGTGAGAATCTGCAGTGTGTAGAGCCACCGTTTCTAATCCAGTGTCTGTAACAACAGTGGGCACTTGGGAAGATGTTGATGCTGTTTGCAGTGAAAAGCAGGCAAAAGCCCAAAACAACAAACTGAAAATGATTAATGCTCAGCAACAATCCTATCTTCATAAAATACATTCTGCTGTTTACACTGATTATAAGTCACAAGTCAGTTATCCTGACCCACCCATAACCATCCATCCTTTATCTTCACACCACTTAATCCTCACTAGGGTGAAGGCAGGGGACACCCTGGACAGGTCACCAGTCTATCACAGGGCTACACTTAGAGACAGACAACCAAGCACACTCACATTCACACCTACGGACAATTTAGAATCACCAGTTAACCTCAACATGTTTTTGGACTGTGGGAGGAACCCGGAGAACACAGAGAGAACCCACGCTGCACGGGGAGAACATGCAAACTCCACACAGTAAGATCCCGGGTGTCCTCACCGGGATGGGAACCGGCGACCTTCTTGCTGCGAGGCGACGGTGCTAGCCATCTTGCAGCCCCCCATATGTATATGTAAAGGGTTATTACTTACTATATATGACATTGCTGCAAAATCAAGTCATGTGTATATTAAATGTGAAGTTCGTCTTTGGTTAATATGATGAACAAGTAGGTATCTTTCTAAATTCTGTCTTATGAAAACAGGGTGAAAAACTAAAAACACTTTTTTTGTGTCACTCAGACTGCACATGCCTCCTTTAATATTTCACTGGACTAATCAGTGCATTTTCACGCTGAACAAGGATGGAGGATCTTATCTTTGCTCCACAGGTCCTCAAAGTTGTGCCTGAAATGAAAATGAGAATTGAAAGCTGAGAGCAGAACTGAGAAACGCCAAAGCTTAACCTGGCTTTGAGACACAAACCCAGCCCGCTGCTGATTTCTATTAGCAAGTTAATTTTGTTATGTCTAATGTAACCGTCTCCCCGGTGGCTGGCCGTGTTGCTCGCAATCCATCCGCCTTGCCAAGGAAGTTGCAACCAGGGGTTCTTCTGGGATCATAATGTTAAACAGACCTGGACCCAGAGGTAATAAAACGGGACCCGATCTGGATAGGAGCGTATAAAATGTGGATAAAAACTCATACAGGTCTCAGGGTTTGGCTCGACCTGTGAAGACTCTACTTCAGGAAGCAAACGATAACCTTTTAATGTATAGAGACTTAAAAAACTGGAACCTGTCCTTTAAAACGGCTACGTATTATCAGGGCTCCCACTGAAGACGATTTTAGTCTAAATAGTTAATTTTCCTTCAAAAAGCAGTTTCATTTTTTCAGAGTTTTAAGCTTTTGTGTGTATTTAGTAGCTGCAAGGACAAAAGATATTGAAAAATTGTTCCTACTAATGAATAGACAACACTCTCTGTGGTTTTGCCTTTTCATAAAGTACATTTTGTTCCTCTGGCTGTTAAATTACATTATTTTTTTGAAACTGTAATGAAAACTTCATTATTTTAAAGATACTTGCCGTCACTTGAAAGAAAATTTGTGAATACTCGGGACTAAAAAATGCAAATTGCTTTTTTTTTTTTTAAACTTATTTTACAGGCGCTCCTTGCTATGTTATAATTGGAGGTAATGTTGAGTAAAATCAGAAAAAAATAAATAAAAATTG